ATTGAATCGGTAGCTAATTATTTAATATAATGTTTGTAATAGTACATTGAACATAATACTAATATTTAACTCATTACAGGTTACGACTGCAATGTGTTCAGTATTTTACTATATACGCAAATATCCTTCTATAAAATCTAAAGCACTTTCTGAGATTAATGAGATATTTGGACATTCAATATCTTTAAATTCCCTTTACGAAGATATAGAAAAACTAACATATTGTGATGCCTTAATTAAAGAAACACTTCGCTTAATCCCACCATTTCCAAATTTCTCACGATCGAATTCTGAACCTGTAGAAGTTGGTGGACATCTATGGAAAGAGGGACAAACATTTGTATTATTTTACTCAAGAATAAATATTAATAAAAATGATTGGATTGATGGTGAAATTTTTGATCCTGAAAGGTTTTTGAAGAATAAAAATAGTAAGCGGTCAATAAATGCTAAAGATGCTAATAATAAAAGGGCGTTTACAACATTTGGTGGAGGTGCTAGGGTTTGTCCGGTTTGTATTATTAAAGCTACTATATAAACAATTTATATATAAATTATTTGAATAAATAATTTTAATTTATATAATTTACTTAACAGGGAAAGCTCTGGGCGATTGTTGAAATAAAAGTACTTTTAGTGGCAGTCTTAATGAGATATGATTTGGAATTTGTAAATAATGATCAAGGATTGGACTTATTTTGTGATTCATCCTATCATTGGAGAGAACTTAGAATTCGTTTAAGTCCTAGAGTGCAGGAAGCATAACTTAAATTATATTCGACCTTATTCTCAAGTGATTTACTACTAAAGATGAAAATTTTTTCTATTTGTAGCTTTACGACATAATAATTAGCACAGTAATCTAATGTTAGAGTAAGGACATAAAGAATTTTTTACGAACATATATACTACCCTAACTTTATGACTACATATGCACTTATTTTGTGTTAAAGATTTTTCTTATTATATTACTTGTAAATTATTCGCTTTTTGCACGTATTTTATATCAGATTTTGTGAATTTTCTTTCTATTGTATTTCATTGTAGATGCGCTTTCTTCTGGCAACCTGAAACATTAATGAATAAAGTCACTGTATTATGTTATTAAAACTAAGTACTTAATACTGATGAGACTTGTATAATAAAATTGATTATACTCTACCCACGTTATAACTGGCTCGTTAAATTGGATTTCCCATTATAATGAGTATTTATCATAACAATTTAAAATAAAAGTCATTATGCTATATAATGCTATAGTGAGTATTCACTATAATGGTTGGGCCTTCTCAGCCTGATCAATACGTTATAATGAGGTAGAGTTTATTTGCTCTATTTTTCATTAATTTTTCTTTGCCCAAAATAATTTTTTGTAAAACCTCCATAAAAGATTTAAAACTCTCGTTATAAAACCTCAGAATAATCACCAATATCAGGTACATAATACAGTGCTTAAATTTATTTACTAACATTAAACATTTAATAGATTTAATATGGAATAAATAATAAATATGATGATATTTTGATTAATAATACCGTATTTTAATACACACAGTATATCATATGTTTTTGGTTTTTTTGATGATTTCACAGTTGACATTTTTTTGTTAACGAACAACTACTGTAAAACGTCTTGTAAAGTACCTGGATGCATTAAATTTCACATGGTAAAAGTTTGATTTATATTCGAGTATATTGTATGATGGAAGGTATGTTTATTGGGAGTAGGGATGGCAAAAAACATGTTTTTTTATTCTCGTGTTTTAAAATATTTTTTGTTTTTTATTAAATAATAAAAAAAAATTATATTTTATAAACATAACTATAGAAGATTTTTTTAAGTATATAATATAAAGAATACCAAAATATACTAGTGATGCTTAATACTTCATATTTTTGCTATAAAATTTAGGGTTAGGGTAGAGTTATAGACTAAGAAAAGGCTCAAAAAATATATAATATGTATATTTTTTTGTTATACTACAAAGCGAATTTAGACATAATGTTTATTTTTTATTTTGTATTAATTGTAAAATGTTTACTATTTAAGTGATAGTTCGCAGCTAAAGGGTATAAATTTCATAGTAAAAATCGGCGGGCATTACTTATAAATTTTAAT